AGCGGCCGCTAGCGCTGTGGACTGGAATATCCCTGTGCTCTCGGACCCAGATGAGCAATGGAACCTTTTGTACTTCAATATGATTTCGCTTGTTGTGCATGTTGTTCCTATTATTAAAAGGAGAGGCCCTCCGTGGATAGACCGAGAATTGAGGTGCTTAATGTCCAAAAGACTTACATTATAGGACCGATTCAAGCTCACTCACTGTGTACTTGACTACTCGAAGTACAAATTGACCAGATATGACTATACCTTGAAAAAAACGTCAGAAACGGCATCAGTATGGACTCAGTTTGGCTGTGCAATCCAGGGTGACACCGAAGGCACTCTACTCTTACTTGAAAAGAACTACCAATGTTGGCAATGGCATTCCTGTCCTGTTTTCCGCAGAGCAGGGCAGTTTACTTGACGACGTTGCGACGAAAGCCAGTCTACTGGCTCTGTATTATTCATCTGTTTACTCGATAGAGACGCCGTTACCCGGTGACACTGCGCCAATCCACCCCTCTTTGTTGCAGCACATAGAAATGAGTGTGGCTGACGTTGCAAAAGGCCTTTGTGAATTAGGTCCGAACTTCTCACCGGGTCCTGATGGGCTGCACCCGCTGTTCCCCAAGACCGTGGCCGATTACATTACTGCTCCCGTCTGTCAGATATTTCGTCACTCCCTGAAAGCTGGACGACTCCCGGTTGCTTGGAAGTTGGGGTCCGGTAAGCGTATACACAAGGAAGGCGATCGTTAAGACTCTGCAAGCTGTCGACCTATCTGCCTAACGTCCGTACTGTGCAAGGGTTCTCAAGCGCGCCCTGCAGCTTCACTTCGAGAACCGAAACATCATCTCTTGTGCCCAGCATGACTTTCGGAGGGCACGCTCATGTACCTCGAAACTGCTTGTTGCTAGAGAGAACTGGGCGAAGTCGTTAGACGCTGGGAAACGATTGGGTGTGGTTTTTGTAGACTTCAGCAAGGCGTTTGACAAGGTCCCCCATGAAGGGCTCTTCCGTAAACTCCGAGGTACCGGTGTCTCTGGGAATGTTTTTTCTTGGATCGCTGATTTTTTGGTTGGCCGGACCATGCGAGTCAAGGTGAATGAAGCCTACTCCGCTTCTGTGCTCATGACTAGCGGTGTTCCGCAAGGGTCGGTACTTGGTGCAGAACTGCTCAAGCTATTCATCAATGGCCTCCCATCAGAGCTTCAGATGGATTGTCTGATTTACGCTGATGACATGAAGCGGTGGATGGAGGTATCCTGTCTCAAGGATGCTGACAGATTGCAGGTATCATTTGACACGCTACACGACTGGTCAGTCAACTGGCAATTGCCCATAAATCGTGAAACATGCTCAGTTCTCCCCATAGGCGCCCCTGAACCGTTCGGGATATACCATATTGGTGGGGTGTTACTCAGAACCACGATTCTTGAGAAAGATCTCGGTGTGCTTGTCTCACATGATTTACGGACCACAGAAGACACACTACGGAGGGTTGCCGCTGCCAATCACATGTCCCATGCCATACAGAGAGCCTTCTCACGACTGACTCCGGAAATCTTCAGAATTTTGTTTATTTTTCATGTGCTACCGATCCTTGAATACAGACTACCCGCCACCTGTCCTCTTACCAAGTTCGAGTGTGACATGATTGAGATGGTCCACCGTCGTGCTTTGAAATCCATACTGGAAGTTAGAGACTTGCCTTACCCTCTTCGACTACAGCGGATGAACCTGTTCTCCCTGGAATATCGTCGCCGTAGAAGTGATCTGAATTTTACCAGGCGAATTCTGATGGGGGAAATGGGGATGGAGCTACAAGCGTTCTTTCAAGTCAACACTAATAGTTCCACTCGGGAGCACATCTGGAAACTATTTGAACCTCGAAGACTCCGAGTTCGCTCCACTCTCGCTCTATCAACCCGCATTGTAAATGACTGGAACGACTTGCCGAAGCATGTTGTCGACGCGCAGACTGAGTAATGTTTCAAGCGCTTTTTGGATTCTCACTTGATGAGTAAGCTGGGACCTTGCTTCTTCCAATGTAGCTGTTACGGTCCCTTGTGGAATACCGTCTCGTAGTGACTCACGTCATCCACGCAATGATCGGGATGTGAAGGAACTGACAAAAGAATTTCCTTCTGCTCTCTACTATCCAGTGATGTAATGAAAAGGACGTTCAAACGAACGTCTCAGCGGCAGTTATGTCGCCTGTTAGCAATACCTGCTCCGGCAAAAGTTTTCCTAGATGCGGCGACTAATACTTCTCCTACATTCGACTAGGACGATAGTAACCTAGGTATCATATTTCCTAAATGTTATAAATATACATGAGGAATTCTTGGTACACTTACCTTCATTGGTGTACAGTCCTCGTAGTGTGCGTTCTTCCTTAGGTGTGCGTTCCTTATCTTACCCGTATAGTATAGGCGACCATAATTCACCCATGGCGGATACATCACAGGCTGTTCATGAGGAATGCTCTTTGGAAACCCGTGATGCTTTTCGGCGGGTGTTGGGTGAATAGGTGTGGAATTGCAAACCGCCTACTACATCTATGAACAGCTTCCTTAATGAGCTGAATTCGCTTTATCAGGGCCACCGAAAGGTTACCACACATTAATGCGTTCTCCTACATCCACTGAAACTGTTACAGTGTCAACCGGTACGTACGGTCATTTGGGTTTGTGTAATGGTTTGAGGAACATTCTACGCGGGGAACGCATCCCTTCCAGCGGTTGTATTTGTATCCAGTTACACATTGATGGATTTACGCCTTTTCGACCATCTAAGCTACAAATGTGGCCTATCATGTGCCGTGTTATTTAACCCGTACCCACACACCCTTTCGTCGTCGGATTCTACTCTGGTGAATGCAAGACACAGCGTCCATGATTTCCTTGCTCCAACCATCAGTGAGTTAATGGAGGTGATGTCTGATGGATTGATCCTGAGAGGATGTGATTCCCCTTTCACAGTTGATTTAAAAGCTGTTATATGTGACGCGTCAGCACGTGCATTTGTGAAGCGGATGAAGTATCACTCAAGATATAGCAGTTGTAACAAATGCCTGCAACGTGACACGTATGCTGAAAGTAAACTAACTTTCCCGGAAACTGAATGCTGTGAGCGAATGAATCGGTCATTTCGTTCTAAACGACGGGCAGGAAGATCTTTTGAGTGCCTAGCGATTGACGTGATAGCAGCATTCCCCATGGACTACATGCACGCCGTATGTTTGGGTGTGATGCATCGCATGATATCCTCATGGGGACAATCAGATTTTAAACGGAGATGTTTCCTTGAGGGTGAAGGTATGGACATCGTTAATGAGCTTCAGAAAGGAATAGATAGTTGTTAGCCAGGTGACTTTCGCGGGCGTTGCCGTAGTGTGGAGCACTTACGGTGATGGAAAGCAACTGAGTTTCGTAATTTCCTGTTGTATGCTGGGCCTGCTATGCTGCTGTACGTTATAAAGCCCCCTTACTACTAGCATTTCTTAGATTTGCACCTTGTAATTTACGTGTAATGCCATCCTATGTTCCACATAAGGTATATGGATGTTGCGGAGGATGCGTCGAATGTATTTGTGCGTAATTACTACGAGTTATACGGTGAGGCGGAAATAACTTTCAATGTGCATTCATTGGTGCACCTGGTCAAGAACGTGAAAATACATGGTGTGTTGGACAATTTTTCCGCATTCCTATTTGAGTCTCACATTTTTGTGCTGAAAGAAGCCCTTCACAATGCCGTCAGCCCCACTGCGCAACTGTTGCGCAGGTGTTTGGAACTGTCCGCTAAGCCTCTTTGTCCCTCGAGTTTGCGTACAAAAAACGGTGTTACAATGATGCTGTACCGTAATGAGGTGGCTTTCACCATCAACGGTTCCATGTACACTCCATTTAGCCTGGACAACCTCGTTGTCGTACGCCAAACGCCTTGTTTTTCGTTCCGTAAACAACACAAACGACGGTGGTGCAAACCTCATCTATCAGGCCTTCGACAAGTTGTACGACCTACACAGACGCGACCTGCAGTCATCGGAGATAGGCATTTATATAGCTTTTGACTTGCAACCAAATGTCTGCTAACTGCCGCTACAGGATGTTGTTTACAAGTGCATGTGCATTAAGGTTGCACCTGGTTGGGGTCCGAGAGACGAGGATACTTGCTGGTTGAAAACCTTGGAAGTTATGGCTCAAGATCGATGTCAATGGCGGACGTGTGCATCAGTGTGTTGCGGTGTCCCTTCCTCCTCCCCCTAAAAACGTACAAACTGAAAAAAAAATTTCAAAAACTGTGAGTGGTAAACTTGACAAAAAAGCATTTCTTGTTGCTCTTTTCTTATTATTCATATTGTTTTCCTATTCAGCCATGATTCCGATGGCACAATATCTGTACCACAGATTGTGTATAGTATAATATATATATAAGGTTGCACGGAAAAACGTTATCTTTCCCATATTGCACACTTTTCGCCCCCTAGACCTCCCGCGCATTTGTATTGTTGCACAGTGTACTGTATTCTTATTTAATATCGCCTTTAATATACATCAGTAACACTGCCCATCTCTTTCTGTGAACTGCGCTTCCATGTCCATCAAATTTCCCACGTTATAACCCTTTTATCAGGTCATGTCCCAACCGCAGTATTACGTGGTAGCCTTACGAACGGAACGTGGTTTGGAGGTTGCCGTTATTAGCAGCAAGTGGCTGCCGAGTAATGCTCATACCGCCATCATACCTGAACTACAGCAAGGAGTATAGGCTAACGCGGTTCAGAATCACCGAACACCCGCACGCGGTGACCGCATGCACCCTGTTCGGGTGATTATCCAGAGAGATTTGCTGTGTTTGGCGATTTCATTTCGCAGATGGCTATCAGTATGCACGCTCCGTGTCTCTTGTGTATGCATAACGGTTATTTGCGAATGACACAGTGTCAATGGCCACGCCACGCAGACGAATCCCGTATTTTCATTTTCTATTATTTAATTGGCATTCCAGGAGGCGACCTGCCACACTACTTTCCGACAATGATGGGGAAGAATCTCGTGCACAAACTCGAAAAAAGTTACCTGCCGGCGCCACGTATCGAGCTGCACTACCCACGTGAATGTTTGCCTTGGCATCGAAATCAGCTAACACCATCCACCAACCCGTTCCATCATGCAGCTACACATACCCTGCTCGAAATACTTCCGGCTCCGGAAGCGGGAGCGCGCTGGTTGCAGACGTAGACGTTCCAACTACTGGTAAGGTTCTCCTAGTCCACTACACAACCGTTCACCTCTGGAACTAATACGGCTTTCCGTTCGCCTTCTGTAACAACCGAAAGAACCCCTGACTGTAAGTTTCTTCCGGTCTCACTACTTTGCAGTTGCCACCGTTGCAGACCTCTTTCATGATTAAAAAAAGAAATCACTGATATTATAAGGTCGGTAACGATTAATCAAAGTGCGTTTTCCAATCCCAATGACAGCATGCGTCTTTCCGGTAGATATTACTCGCCGTTGAGACCGCTGTACGACACGCTGAACTCTCTGACAGAGGCTTTGCGTCAATTGCTACAGCATAGTAATCCGGACTTACCATTTGCCTCAGCAACTGTGGATGCTTTGCATTTATATGACGCGTCATTACGGGGTGAGAATCGTCGAAATGCCTTGGTAAGAAGCACATATTGTCCATAACCGCTGATAACGCGCAGTACCTTATTTGCCTGAATGTCGATAATGTTCATCATGCCGCCTGGAACACGTGTGCAATATTATCTCGAGGTGTTGGAGCCGTGATCAATTTCTCTGGTGCCCGTGGTACTTACTCTCTTAGAGAAACGTGGTTGTACTCCGTCATACACAGTAAGTTACCATCATTTTAACATGACATTCTTCACAGCAACTCGACTGACACGTTTTGTCGCATGTGGCGTTTCTCCCGAAGAAGTTGCCAAGTCAGTAAAGAAATGGTTTCACACCGTGCGATACAATACAACACCACAACCTATGGGCACAACACTGACTTCCACGGAGGAAGTAATGAAATGCAATATTATGGTCGATTATTGATTTTCAAGTTGCGAAAGTGGTTGTCCTGGACAAACCGAACATGCAGTCATGACACCCATGTACTTATTTGCAACTGCATTTTGTATGCGCATATATGTATATATATTCGTTTGCTTCCTTTTGCAGATTCCTTTTCCAAATTTACAACCTCGATAAGCGTGTGAACATAAACTGTGCTTTGCGAACGTCCATACACCGTCTAACTGAGCTGCCGAACAGTTTTCCGTGTAAACGAGGTTTATGTCCTACTTGCAGGTTTACAACTGCTTGCAAGATTTGTGCGCCCTGTAATAGCAGTAAGCGGAACCGAGGAAGGATATAGTTTTCCCCCTTGAAGCTTTCGATTAGGTTAGTTGTGCCCGTAGGGAACTGTACGGGGCTTCCAGGAAGGGGAAGCACCGCGGCCGCATGAAGGAATCAGCTGCTTCCTCGATCAGCTCAGTGGTCTCAACCACGGACTGGAAACAATCGGGTTGTGGGTTCGAGCCCTACCAGGGTCCGATGGAATGCACAATGCTAACGATTCCCGAAAGCATGAAACGCGCGTACAGGACTTTAGCCATATCCAAACATATGGCGTGCTAACTATCAGGCAATGCGTGTCAAGGCTTCTGAGTTGCGTTGCGAAATCTCGGTGGTCGATATGGTTCAGGCGGCCTGGGATAAATTTAAGTCTTATCTCACGGAAGTGTCTACTGCCTACATCCCACTTGCGAGGAGAAAGGAGACACGAGCGCGGCCGCCCTGGATAGATACCATTAGCAAGTACCTGCTCCAGAAGCGTGCTAGGTGCTGGAGGACCTACCATGCGGCTCCATCAACTAGCACCTATGATAAGTATCGCGAGGCTAGAAATAGGTGTAAACAACACTTAAGGAAAGCTCGGCTGTTATATAAAAAGGAATTGACTTATGGAGCTTCGGAAAATCCGAAGAAGATTTCCCCTTATGTTAAGAGACGCTGTGGTCCAAATTCGGCAATTCCAACTTTCATGCAAACCCGTGGAACTCGTGCGTATGCGGACCCAGATGCGCATCGTGTACTTGGGGAGCAGTATGCAGGGGCTTTTGTACGTGAGGTCGCGTTGACTAGCGTTGACCTTGTCCCCAGAGTACCTGAGGGTTCTTATTTAGCTGATTTTACTGTGGTGGAAACGCAAGTCCTTAGGCTGCTGCAAGAACTGAACTCTTCTAAAGCAGCTGGACCTGATTCAATTCACCCGAAGGTTCTGCATGAGTGTGCGGTCATCATCATCATTACACACGTTAGCTAGCGGTGGGAAAACACCCGCTATTGTGCCGCAATACATAAAGGAAATACATACATACATATAATACAATACACAAGGGAAAAATAGATACAACATTTGCATGCCAGCTGAGCTACCAGCAACGGATAGGCATCGTTCCGGTAAGCTACTAGCCAGCTACTAGGCAAAAAGAAAAAAATATGTTTCACCCTACGAAATGAGATCGTAAATGGAGAGGGAGGCTAAAAGGGATGGGGAGGGACAAAGAAACTCACAGCATGAACGCCATTGAGGTCGGCTCCTTGCCATGTCAGCAAGTGTATCCAGCCAGACGTGTTCACCGTCATTTGGACCCGAACCAGGGAGCCGTGAAGCTCCAACCGAGGCCAGCTCCGAAGTGAGGGACTTCATTCCTCTTGACCAAGTCATCGCTTGGTCACCTCTCCTCTTCTTCCACCCACATCCCCGGTGTGCAAACAACGCACGTCGAGGGAGTCGGTGGGCTGGCATGCGTAACACGTGGCCGAGCCATCGGAGCTTGGTGCGGGAACTAACGGTGCTGAGCAGTTCAGATCCTTTTCCTGGGCCGTAGACAATGCGTCGAACACGCTCATTACTTACGCGGTGTTCCCACCAGATGTGAGTCAAACTGCGAAGTGTGCGGTAGAACTAAGCGGACCGCTGACAATGGTATTTCAGAAGTCACTTGCCAGCTGTGCATTATCTTCTGAATGGAAGGAGGCTGTCATCTGTCCTATCTTCAAAAAGGCGCAAGGAGTCTGTCAGCCAGTGATAGGCCAGTCAATGACTAGCGTCGTGGTCAAACTGATTGAAAAGCTGGTGAGAGATTTGTTGGATGGTCACCTGAATAGATTTAATCTACTCAGTAATGCACAACACGGATTTCGGAGGGAATTTTCGTGTCTGACGAATTTGTTGGTTGCTCGTGAAGTTTGGACCGAGGCAATGTACAATGGCCACGTAATGAATGTACTTTTCGTCGACTTCTCGAAAGCATTTGATAAGGTACCTCACTTGAGGCTATCACAAAAACTGAGCTCCTACGGTGTATCTGGCCGCGCCCTTCACTGGGTGTCTGCCTTCTTGCAGGGAAGAGAGCAGTGTGTACGTGTCGCTCACAGCTTATCCTTTAGACAAGCGGTCCTTAGCGGTGTCCCACTGGGCTCGGTCCTTGGACCGATGCTGTTCCCCATCTACGTAAACGATCTTCCTGAAGAGCTTGCGGTATCATCCCTATTGTTTGCTGGTGACTTTAAGCTATGGAATGTTACAAATGTCCCTGGGGGTTCTGAGGCCATACAGCTTGCCCTGGACAGACTCTGGGACTGGCGTACTTTGTGGCTACTGCCTATCGCAATGAGGCTAGACCTTACCGTGGTGCGATGGTTTGTGTGCCTCAGTGATCCATTGAGCTATACTGGGTGGTACATTTTTGCACCTTCATAGCCACTCATACCAGATTGGTCAGTGGTTAGAGGCTAGACAAACTCAACCTCCTGGTCCTCCAGGTTTGGGGTTGGAATGAGGGTGGCTCCTTATTCCTTAAAACGGACTCCTTGTAGCCCAATGCCAAACCCGCTGCCTTGCGGACAGGTTTTTGAACCAAAGGCTTTGGTTGAGAACCCTAATCGTTCTCCTGTCTAGTCCTGGGCAACCTGACAGTATCCTGCCCACGCAATACAATGAATCTCACTTCAAACAAATTTCTGATGCTCTGGCCACCGCAGCGGACAATAAACGGTGTCTTATCTGCTGCATCGGGCAGGATGGATAGGGGTTTGGATGCTACTGTTCAAGCCTTCCCGTCTTCTTATTCCCCTTCTTGCGCTTTTTTACCCTTATCGTCCCGTTCCAGCTTCACTTTTATCCCCCTTGTTTTCAACCCCCCAATTCTCGGCCCTCCCCCACCTTGTTTCAATAGTCGCTTGTCTTTTAGTTTCAACCCACATGTGAACGCGGAGCGTCATTCCTGCACTGTCAACAGGCCCGTGTCCAAGAAAGCGGCCCATTCCAGTTTATCGGCTTCCATTTGGAGCCCTCGATCCTCCTTCAGATTGGCATGCCTCAATGTTCGCACATTGCTTCAGATCGGTCAACAGACATCACTTGCCCGAACATTAGAGACCCTCTCGATCGATATCTGCTGCTTATCGGAGACCCGCCTGCAAGACTCGAGCTCTGTGCTCACTGTACGATCCCCTTCAGGTGACACTAGCAACACTTCATCATTGCGCCTATCCGATGACGATGCAGCTTCGAGCACCGGCCAAGCCGGTGTTGGTATTGCCCTGAGTCCACGGGCTGAAGCTACTCTGGTTGATTGGATTCCAATCAGTAGCCGGATGTGTGCGGTCCGATTGGCTGGTTCGTTCAAAGATTCGAAGTCGCGTGGGACTAACAGGTGTCTATTCGTTATCGCTGCCTATGCACCCAAAAACTGTAGCAATGACTCGGTAAAAAACGACTTCTATCGCCAACTGAACGAACTCCTTCGCCACAGAAGAAGCTCGGACACTGTAGTGCTGGCCGGGGATCTGAACGCTCAAGTTGGAAAATTCTCCACTGATGAGCTGCATCTGGGCGGCCAACATGGTGTAGGCTCCCGTAATGATAACGGTGAGCGGTTGCTTCATTTGTGTGAGGATGCTCACTTATTTCTTGTGAGCACTAATTTCCGACACAGCACCCGTCGGCGAGTGACTTGGCGCCCACCAGCCTCGAACCAGCTATGGACGCAAATGGATAACATTGCGATAAGTTACCGATAGAGAGGCTGCGTCCAGAACTGTCGCTCGATTTGGAGCACATGTGTGGACACTGATCATGCACTTGTATGTGCTGACCTGCGGATGCGCTTTGGCGGACGCCCTCGACGATGTTGTGAGCGCATTGACACCGGCAGACTGGTGAAGCCAGCTGTTCTGAGTGCCTATCAAATTACGCTGTCATGCGAGTTGGGTAAGCGCTCACTGGATGCAATTGGTCACTGGTCTCATATTGACCAGACTTTACTAGCAGCAGGCAAATCCTCATGAGGTATGTCTAATCGCCAACATGGACATTGGGTCTCTTCGCAGTCTCTGGAACTTGTAGATGCTCGCCGGCATGTTCCGGCTGGAAGCGAACACAATGAAACTCGCAAAGAGCTCCGAGCAAAACTCCGTGCTAGCCTGAATAGAGGTGGCGAATTATGATGGTCTCATCGTGCTTCAGGGATGGAAATGGCTGCTGCCCTTGGTAACCATCGTGAGTTTTTCCGTCCGATACGGGAAACGGGCAGCAGGAGACCTGGTGTTAGTGAAACTATACGTGACGAGAGTGGATAGCCTATCCACAACTTATCAAAACGCTTGGAACGTTGGGCTGAGCACTTTGAAGGACGATTTAATCGGTCAGAATTGTTAGATTTCTCGCCGGCCACTGACCGCCCCGCTCCGTGGGCTGTGCCTTTGGATCCACCCTCTCGCTCAGAAGTCGAGCGTGAGATCGGACTATTGAAGTTAAATAAAGCCGCGGAACCTGATGATCTTACCTCCAGCCCTCTTCAAATTCGGGGGACCTGCTCTTGTGGATGATTTACACGAGTTACTAGTTAAACTGTGGGAGCAGGAAACTGTCCCAACCGACTGGAGCCGCTCCGTCATAGTTCCAATTTTCAAGAGCGGCTCACGATCGGATTGTGTCAGTCATAGAGGAATCAGTCTGATCTCCATCGTCTCCAAATTGCTTGCCTCTGTCATCCTTCACAGACTGACTGGCACTCGTGAAAGCCAGATTCGTGAAGAGCAAGCTGGATTTCGTCGAAGTCGTAGCTGCATTGACCACATCTTCACTTTGCGTCAGTGGTTGGAG